ACTCGAGTATAAGCCGAGGCGGCTTTTTTCAGCCCAAAAAGTGGGCTGAAAAACTCGGCTTATACTTGAGTATATACAGTAAGTGAACTAATTGTCTCCTGCAAACTCCACTCCCCTATTGCTCCTCTTTTATTCCTCCTGGGAGGGGCCACTCATCGTCCACCTGTGGCTTCACTCCAAAGTCGACCCCTGTTCTTTAGCTCTTCCACTTGTCCAGCAACTCTGTGCATGCGCACACTGGGAACAGGCTCCAGCTGTTCATCTGCCTCACTGATGTCCGACTGAAGGCAGCTGATAACTGGCATACGGCTCTGGCCTCCTCTCTGCCTCTGACACAGAGCCCTCATCAGAGCCTTCCCCAGACTCCAGGCCTGGCCCATGTTCCTCCCTAACCTCCTCACTGTCCAAATCTGCTGCCAGCTCCGCTGACTGCTGGCGAAACACAACACAGGGCTTTTATCTAAATATCATAAGTCTGAGGGCTGGTGATAAGTCCCTCCTTTCAATGCCATTATAATGTGCAATCCATTGTTAAATGAAAGGTTGTAAGTCAAGGACTACCTCTAGGTCCGTCTTGCATTCACAAAATAAGCTGCAAAGATTAATACCTGTACTTTTTCCTTTGCAGGAAAATCTGATTGGTGCCTTGCTGGCTATTTTTGGGCACCTGACGATCAGCATTGCTCTCAACCTCCAGGTGAGCTGAGAGAAGGGGAAAAAAGGATTCCAGAGCCAGAGAAACCCCAACAAATATTTTCATTCTCCTTCCTCTTCCTTTTAGAAATACAGTCATATCCGGTTGGTGAGTTGCAAAGAGACAAAGGCTTATTTTAGGACCAAGACATGGTGGTGCGGTTTGTTCCTTCTCTGCCTGGGAGAATTGGGGGTCTTCTCCGCCTATGCTTTTGCACCCCTGTCTCTGATAGTGCCTCTGGGGGCCGTCTCTGTCATAGGTAAGTCCCTCAATACATGTCAGCACTTCATGGCAGAGCAGGCTAGGAAACCAAGGACATCAGTGCTGATAGGACTTTCATTTTATTTGCTTATTCGGTTAATTCAATTTACTGTATTTTTCAGAGTAGAAGACGCACCTTTTTCCCTCAAAAAAGAGGGTGAAAATCTGGGTGCTTCTTATATACTGAATACATAATTTCTTGCCTCCCAAAACCTCACCCCTTTTGCAAAAATGGCTGTGCATAGCCTTTAGGAGGCTTCCAGAGTGCTCCTGGGGGCTGGGGAACGGCACAAATGAGCGATAAACGGGCTGATTTTTGCTTGTTTTCCCCCTCCCAGCCCCAGTGACCACTCTATAAGCAGCCTAAAGGCTATGCATGCCTTTTTTGGACAAAAAACAGGCCCGTTTTCACGAAAAACGGGCTGTTTTTGGAATGTCTGCAGAGTGCAAAAACTTTTTTTTAAATTTGCCTCTTCAAAATCTTGGTGCGTCTTATACTCTGAAAAATACGGTATCTAGCCACCCGTTTAACATTTATGACTCTTAAGTGACTGACAATTAAAACAAATAATAAATACAGGTAGTCCTTGACTTACGACCACAGTTAAGCCCAAACATCTGCAAGAAAACAAGCAAGCTCAGAGAGCATCAAAGACCCCTCATTTCAGCCCTGAGCTACAAATATTCTCCTTTATTGATATTTCTAATATCAGAAATATCTCAAAAACTGAAATAGTTGACAATCCATATAAAATTGCCTCCTATGTAAGCAAGGTTAGGGGACATGTAGCAAATCTTCAAGATGCTAGCAAGATCCATAGTCTTACATCCTCCCAGATCCAGATAGCTTTGATATTTAAGCCAGATGTTCTCCAATTATGCTGATTTATTCAAAAATAAAAGGGGAGTGGAATCCTTATATTCAATCAAACATTTCCACAAGTGAAAATACCTGCTTACCCCAGCTTAAACTGTCTCTAGCATTGGCAAAGCTCATTGCTTGTATTTTCTCATTCAGCAAGTGCAATCATTGGAGTCATATTCATCCGGGAAAAATGGAAACCTAAAGACTTCATGAGTAAGTGGATGGATGCATTTTTCAGAACTGCCCGTCTTCAGCACATCCATCTCTCTCTCCCTCCCTCTCCCTCCCTCCCTCCCTCCCTCCCTCCCTCTCTCTCTCTCTCTTAAAATTGCAATTATTATTATTTGTAGCTTTTTTTGTACCTGCTAATTTGTTAGGACCGGCTTGGAGGGAGCTGGCTACTTTTTCATTATTTCAGAAAGGTGGGTTGGAGGGTTAATTGCAGAGGTGGTATTCAGTTTGGACCGGTTCGCCAGTAGTGGAAACCGTCCTGGCTCTATGTTGTCCTATTTTGGCACGCTTCCAAGCCACGTGCATGCATGCAAGCCACGCACGTCATCAAAGCGCATGCGCCGAAGGCTGAGTGCATGCATGGTGTGCTTGATCACATTTGCGAACCGGTAGGGAAAGTAAGTAAATATAACCCCTGCTTATTTGGTTTCTCATCTTGGATGTCCAGAAGAAAAGTGGATAGGACTGTCCCTGTTAATTTACATCCAGATCCCTGGGTTGCATTCCTTCTTCCTTTTTCCTTTTTGTTTCAGTTTTTGCTAATTGCTTTAATTATAAGACACAGGTAGCCCTCAAGTTACAACCATTTGCTTAGTGACTGATTGTAGTTACAGCAACACTGAAAACAGTGACATAGGACAGTTTTTAACTTAACGATCGTTGTATGGTCACTCGATCAAAATTCAGCCACGTTGCATTGCCCCGGGATGATCCCGTTTTGCGACCTTCTGATAAGCAAATTCAACGAGGAAGTTAACCATTGTTTTACTACTGTTTTTTCGGCGTATAAGATGCACCATAGTATAAGATGCATCTTAGTTTTTGGGGAGGAAAATTTGCGGGGGGGGGGAATTCCACCTACCAGGTATTCATCTGGCTAGCGCCCTTAGCCTGGTCAGCTTCAGCACATACGTTTGCTGGTTTTGAGCGTGCATGCACGCACTTTTTATCTCCTGGTTGGGGATAAAAAACAGCTTCAAAAGCACAGCTGATCGTAGGAGGGAGCAGCAATGAGAAAAGCAGGCGAAGCACAGAAGTTCCCTTCCCTCATTATAGCCTCATTAGGGCTGAAAAAAAGCTTCAAGAAACATTCGGAGTATAAGACACACCCAAATTTTCAGCCTCTTTTGGGGGAGGAGGGAAATGCATTGTATACTACAAAAATACAGTAACCACTGAAGTGAGTCACTTAACAGCTGTGGCAAGAAAGGTTGTTAAATGGGGTAAAACTCAATAACTGTGCTGCTCAGCAATGGAAATGTAAGGCAAAAAGTGGTCATAAGTTGAGGGCTACCTGTCCCTCTTCTTACATGGTGTTAATTTTAAGATATTTCCCTGTCCTGTGTCTGTCATTTCTAAGTCTCTTTATTTGTCAGGAAAAAATAGGATGCCCACTTTAAATCAGCCAGCTCTTGCTTAGCTCTACCTGCCGTGCAAGTGTGGTTATTCCCAGCATGGAGTTGTATTCCAAGCAGTGGTTTAATTCAATTTTTTTTTACTACTGGTTCTGTGGGCATAGCAGGGGAAGGATACTGCAAAATCTCCATTCCCTCCCCACTCCTGGGGGAAAGATACTGCAAAATCTCCATTCCCTCCTCCTCCAGGGGAAGGATACTGCAAAATCCCCATTCCCACCCGACTCTGGGGCCAGCCAAAAGTGGCATTTGCCAGTTATCTGAACTCAAAATTTCCACTACCAGTTCTCCAAACCACTCGAAATGTCTGCTACCAGTTCTCCAGAACCTATCAGAACCTGCTGAATTTCACCCCTGATTCCAAGCCATCTAAAAGGGTACCCGGTGCTACCTTCTCCGTCTCATTTTTGTAACTATGCATGTGTATAACTCAGAGAGCTGCTGTAGGCCTCCAAACTAATGCACTAACACAGCTTTTCCTGTCTTCATCCTGCCAAAGGGCGTTATGTTTTGTCCTTCATAGGCTGCGCCTTAGCCATTGTTGGGACATACCTGCTAATCACTTTTGGGCCGAACAATCACGAAGTCATGACAGGGGAGAACATCAGAAAGCACTTGGTCAGCTGGCCATTCCTTCTGTACATGGTAAAGTGATGCATTTAATCATGTCTAATCTGTGATCTTCCTCTTTAGCTTCATTTCATTTAGAGGCCTAAGCCAATAAGTGATTTATTTTTTTGCTTACTCTGTGGTTATTTTATGTTGCTTCCTTGATCTAGATCGGGCTTTCTCAAATCTTGACAACTTGAAGAGGCGTGGGCTTTTGATTCTCAGACTTGCTGGCTGCCTGGGGAATTTGGGAGCAGGCTTCCACACATCTTACAGTTGTCAAGCTTGAAAAATGCTGATCTAATGCTTTACTTTTAACTGGTTTGTTGAGTGGGTCATGAAAGCTGAGTTCATAGAATAGGGATAGGGATAGGATAGGATAGAATTCTTTTTAGCCAAGTGTGATTGGACACACAAGGAATTTGTCTTTGGTGCATATGTCTCAGTGTACATAAAAAGAAAAGATATATTTGTCAAGAATCATAAGGTACAACACTTAGCACAAATAAGCAATCAAATCATGCTTGGAAACAATAAATTGTAATATATCAAGTTGATCCATAAAGCACGGATGGGCAGTCTCAGAGCTGTATGCAGTCTGGTGCTGGCAAAAAAACCTGGTTTCTTATCTTCAGAAAGATAAATTCTGAAACAGGATGACTGTCATTAAAAATAATCAAGAATCTGCCCCAATTCTTTAAGGAAACAAACAACCTTCCCAACAATGCTCCAGGTTTCTTATGAGTGTTTCTTAGGCATCAAAGAGTTGACTGCCCCCTTGCCATAAGCCATGATTTGCAAATCACAATGATGTATTAATACATTGCATTAAGTCAAACCAATTAGGAAACATCATGATTTAACATGATGTGATCCCAAATTGAGTTTTAGATCTGCAGTTACAGTGGATCCCTACAGTGGTACGATTCAAAATTTTTTACTACCAGTTCTGTGGGCGTGGCAGCAAAGAATACTGCAAAATCTCCATTCCCTCCCCACTCTCAAAAATTTTGCTACAGGTTATCTAGAACCTGTCAGAACTGGCTGAATACCACCTCTCGATCCCTAGATGTCCTTACTCTCTAGATAATCCTGACCGGTCCAAGGTTGACTCAGCCTCCCATCCTTCTGCGGTTGGTAAAATGAGGACCCAGATTGTTGGGGGCAGTATGCTGACTCTGTAAACCGCTTATATAGGGCTGTAAAGCACTGTGAAGCAGTATATAAGTCTAAGTTCTATGGCTGCTATCCTTACTCCATATCCAGCCTAGATGGTTGTCTTTAAACATAAGCTCTTGGGTTATTTTACCAGTAGCGCTAATGCAGGGGTGTCAAACTCACGTCGTCACGGCGGCATCATGTGAATATCAGGACTTCCCCCCCCCCTTCACCTGACCGGGCATGGCCAGCACGTGATGCACCTGGCCCATGGACTGGAAGTTTGACAGCCCGGCTCTTGTGTGCTAAACAAGCCAAGTTGGCCAACTCATTGTAATAATCTAGGGTTTACAAACTACAGAGGATCAGGTCTTGTGTTATTGCGAGAAGCTGGTTTAGTGGGGAAGCTATTCACTTTCTGAGCAAAACAGCCAAAAATGAGGAAAAAAGAAGCTTAGCAAATAGGCCCCAGAAGATTTTGCTGATTTATTTTTAAAATGTGTATGATCCTCCATTTTGCGTAAACAGTTTTAACCAAACCTCAATGTAATAAAACCTCCGTAAACAAAGTATATAATGCTAAAATAACAATTACACAAGATGATAATGTAATTAAAATAATAATTACACACAGTTATAAGCATATACTTAAAATAATAATTGCTCAGGAGCTGAGGCACTGCCTAATAGCTTACAGGATTATGTTTGCTACAGGGTTCTGTTTGTTTGTTTGTGAGCAAGATGGTGAAAACAGCAATTCCTGCCCAGACATGCTCCCCACTTCCTCTGTTTCAGGGCAACAATCGCATAAGGTTCCATGTGGGCTGGCACCCAGGTTCAAAGCAACTCTTGGCCATGAGAGCTCCCTGGGTGGCTCTGGGCCCATCCTTTCCCTTCAGCCCAGAATATTTCATTGTCCTGTTTTGGTGGGTGAAGGTTGACTCAGGGAGTGTTGTCTGTGTGGCCCTGAGTTCCCGCAGAAGAGGCAGGATCAGCTTTTAACAAATAGATTAAAAAAACCTGCATTCCACCTAAGCCAGTGGGGTCCAATCTTGGCAACTTTAAGACTTGTGAATGTCAACTCCCAGAATTCCTCAGCCAGCCATGCTTAGTGCAACTTGTGAAACCTAATCTTTGATTCAGTTCTCCTAAGGTGTTACAAGAGACACATGTTGGTTCAGTGTCTAAGACGCTGAGCATGTCAATCAGAAAGGTTGGCAGTTCAGCAGTTCGAATCCCTAGCGCCACATAACAGAGTGAGCTCCCATTACCTGTCCCAACTTCTGCCAACCTAGCAGTTCAAAAGCACATAAAATGCAAGTAGAAAAATAGGAACCACCTTTGGTGGGAAGCAGTGGTGGGATTCAGCCAGTTCTCACCTATTCGGGAGAACCGATTGTTAATTTTCTAAGCAGTTGGGAGAACCAGTTGTTGGAAGAAATCTCCTTTTGTTCCCCACCACCACTTTACAGGGCTAATCCTGTAAGGAAGGCAGGAAGGAAACACTCTGGTGTTGTTTCTAGCCTGATCTTTATTGCCCTGCTTACAGAAACTGCCTCTCCAGTTAACCCTTAGTACATTGTAACATCTAAGGCGAAGCGCCCATCGACATTGAGTTGGTCACGCCCACCCAGTCACATGACCACTGAGCCACGCCTACCCAGGTGGTCATTAGGGCAGAGAACCAGTTGTTAAATTATTTGAATCCCACCACTGGTGGGAAGGTAACAGTGTTCTGTGTGCCTTCGGCGTTTAGTCATGCTGACCACAGGACCACAGAGACATCTTCAGATAGCGCTAGCTCTTCGGCTTTGAAACGGAGATGAGCACCGCCCCCTAGAGTCAGGAATGACTAGCACATATGTGCAAGGGAACCTTTATCTTTAAGCTGTTACATATAGTAATTGTTCAAAGTTATGGCCTATTTGAAAAGGGGGACTTATGACCCAGATCTGAAGTCCTAATGGTCATTGGGGGAATTCCCCCTTCAGAGCTGGATCACAAGTCCTCTTTTTCAGGTAGGTTGTAACTTTGAACAGTCTCCACAGTCACGTGACTGCATTTTGGGCACTCGGCAACATGTACAGGTAGTCCTAGACTTACAACAGTTCATTTAGTGACCATTCAAAGTTACAACATCAGTGAAAAAAAGTGACTTAGAACCATTTTTTCTCACTTATCACCGTTGCAGCATCCCTATGGCCATGTGATAAAAATTCAGATGCTTGGCCACTGACTCATATTATGACGGTTGCATTGTCGGGGAGGGGGTCATGTCAACATCTTTAGTGACCTTTTAAGAAGCAGAGTCAACAGGGAAGCCCGATTCACTTAACAACGTGTTACTAACTTAGCAACTGCGGCAAGAAAGGTTGTAAAATGGAGCAAAATTCACTTAACAACTACCTCACTTAGCAACATAAATCTGGGGCTCAATTGTGGTCGTAAGTTGAGGACTACCTGTATTTACGGCATTTGCAGTGGCCTGTAGTCACATGAGCGCCTTTTGTCTGCAGTTTTGCTAAATACGGGCACTTCCACCCCATGGTGAACAATGGTTTACACTTAGGACCACCATGTTCACTTAATGTCTGTCACAAAAATGTAAAGTCATTTTACCACCATTAGAACTTGTGACCCTAATAGGCATCTTCCAATATGGTTGTTGTCAGAGTTCCAAGTAACACCCGCAACGCAATAAGAATCCAAGGCTCAAAGTTCCTCAAAGTTCTATTTTATTAGAGATGTCATATTGGCACATCTGGGAAAACCCGAATCTGAAGGCTTCCAGGTTTTCCCCACCCAAAAGAAAGTCCAAGTCCTTGCCCAGCACCCACCTGTCCATCACATGCACCATCCCAATTGGAGATGCCTCCCAGTCACACCCCTCAAGGTACAGGGCAAGATGTCCTTGACTCTCTGAGAAAGGAATGTTATTTTGACTATATCTCTCCCCTATGCCATATAATCCCAGTTTCCCACAGCACTAAATGCGGCAGGCCTGAAAGTCCAAACTAAAAGATGGCTTCAAGGCCTGACAGTTGTAATTCGAGGACTCCCTGTCCTTGGAATGCAAACTCCAGCTCCCAGATTTCTGGGGAACTAAGGCAAGAGGGACCCCGCTCCTTCATTTCCAAAAGGGGGAGGTGTCTCTCTCTTCAGCCTGCAAGGGCAAGAAGGTGAGTGGGTGGGAAACCTGGAATTCCAGCCTTATTTCTAACCCAGTGTCATTTCTCTGTTCTCTCTCTTCAGCTGGTGGAGATCATTCTGTTCTGCCTGCTTTTATATTTCTACAAGGAGAGGAAAGCAAACTACGTGGTGGTGATTCTGCTTCTGGTAGCCCTCCTGGGTAAGTTTCTCCTCCTCTTCCTCTTTACGTGAGGTCGGTTTCACAAGTTGGATTGTTAAAACCTCAGCCTACGATTAGCAAAGAAGCAAGTCCGTCTTTGCGGTCTGGGCGTGAGGTTTAATCTCTGTTCAGCTTTCCCAAAGGTGGTTCCTTCTTAGATCAGGGCTCTCTCCAACCTTGGCAACGTTAAGCCTGGCGGACTTCAAATCCCAGAATTCTGGGAGTCGAAGTCCACCAGGCTTAACGTTGCCAAGGTTGGAGAGCCCTGTCCTACGTATTTTTCAGAGTATAAGACGCACCTGAATATAAGACACACCAAGATTTTGAAGAGGCATATTAAAAAAAAAGTTTTTGCACTCTACAGATCTCTCCAAAACGGCCTGCTTTTTTGCACAAACGGGCTTGTTTTTTGTCAAAAAAAAGGGCATGCATAGCCTTTAGGAGGCTTATAGGGTACTCCAGGAGGCTGGGGATCGGCAGGGTCAAAAACGAGCAAAAAACGGCCCGTTGTTCACTCATTTTTGCCCTCCCCAGCCCCCAGGAGCACTCTGGAAGCCTCCTAAAGGCTATGCACGGCCATTTTTGCAAAGGGGCCAGGTTTTCGGGAGGCCAAAAAAGGTGCGTCTTATACTCTGAAAAATACTATAGATGTTTTCTGATTTGCATTTTCCAGAAATCCTGATCCAAGCTCCCCCAGAGGAATCTCACTTAGCCACAGAAATTTTGACCTCCATTGTGGCCATAACTCAAGGACTACCTGTACTGGTTTTCGCTTGCCGTTCTTAGTCGTTGCTCTTGAGCAAAAAGAGGGTTGTTAACCTTGGTGGTTTTTTCCCCCCAGGTTCCATGACTGTTGTTACCGTCAAAGCCGTGGCAGGCATGATAGCAGTTTCCATTCGGGGGAACATGCAGTTGGGTTACCCCATCTTCTACATCATGGTGGTGTGCATGGTGGCGACCACAGCCTTTCAGGCAGAGTAAGTGGAGCCCCAGTTTCCTCCCTCCCTTCCTTTCTCCCCAAATGTGTATTTTCTTCCCGCAGCTCGCCACCAAATGTCAAGGTAATTCAAATTTAATTAAAATGAATTATAGATCAAAAATAGAGCCTGTGTGGCAGGTAGCACTGGAAACAAGGTAATTGGATTCTTCGTGCTGTTTCTGACCCGGAGATGGGCCTTTTAGTAACAATTTGAATAATTTCCTGTTGTAAAGAGACTTGGGGGTGGGTGGGAGATTTGTCATTTGGGAACACTCAGCTAAATGCCAGCTTCCCGCACTCGTTACATCTTGCGTGGATTGCTGGAAGTGTGTTCAGAGAGATGAAGGTGCAGAGCATCCTTCCTTTTTATATATATAAGAAGAGACTTTTTTTTCAAGCAAAGTCAGTGGGGGATGCCCGATTCAATTAACAACCACAAGATTCTCAGTAATAGCCATAGTGATTTGGCAACACCAGCAGCACTGATGATGTTATATAGTTTGAGTAATGAAGCATCTACAAAAAAAATCCAAGTTCAGAGAGCACCAAGGACCCCTGGTTGTAAAACATTACTTAGACATTTTGGAATGAGCTGAAATTTTGCCCGGCAAATCTGCTTGTTTTGCCACTCAGATCAACAGCTGAATCTCAGACTGGTGATCCTGGTTTTGGTTCATGATTTGTAAGTTTGCCTTTTTTTGTGCTGAAACATCTTTGGCTTTTCCTGAAATGTTTTGTTATTTATTTATGGGCAGTGTTGTCTGATTTCCCCCTCCCAACTGTATTTATTTTTCTCCTAGGTTTTTAACCCAGGCTTCCCACTTGTATGATGTATCCCAGATCGCCAGTGTGGGTTATATCCTGTCTACTGTGATAGGAATTACAGCAGGTAAGTGTATATCGGTGCATTAAAATGATGAAAGGAGCTAAGGAGACAGTGATTGCCTAGGCCAAAAACTTTGGATATGCAATAGAAATAGATAGAGTAGGACAAGAAGCAATGGGTGGAAACTAACCAGGGAGATAAGCAACTTAGAACTAAGGAGAAATTTCCTGACAGTTAGATCAATTAATGTGGGGAACAACTTGCCTCCAGAGATTGTGAATGCTCCAACACTGGAAGTTTTTAAGAAGATGTTGGGTAACCATTTGTCTGAAGTGGTGTAGGGTTTCCTGCCTGAGCAGGGGAGTGAACTCGAAAACCTCCAAGATCCCTTCCAATTCTGTTATTCTATTCTATTCTATTCTATTCTAGATAAGTGGCAGAAACTATGGGATAGAAATGTTAAACTGACTTTGTCAACTGCATATAAAGAAAATTTGTAAAAAATGTTTTATAGATGGCACTTTGCACCGGCAAGATTGGCCAAAATGTATAAAAACAGATCTGCTAAATGTTGAAAATGTAATCAATCACCAGGCTCATACTATCACATGTGGTGGACTTGCCCAAAAGCCCCAAAAATTTGAAAGAAAATACCTACTTGGTTGGAAAAGATGATAAAGCAGCATATTGACTTGAAACCTGGGATATTTTTGTTGGGCATCCTAGTGGAAAAACATGACAAAAAGACTGTATCTGGTCTTACATATATTAACTGCAGCTAGAATTGTATTTGCGCAACAATGGGAAAATGATGAAATGCCGTCAGATGAGAGTGTAATTAAGAAAATATTAGAATGTGCAGAAATGGACAGATTAACGCTCATTATTAGGGATGAAGTAGAAACAGAATATTTCTTGACGTGGGAGGAAATGTTAATGTGGAGAGAATTTGATGATGAAGATGTTATGTACTATTGTAATTGTATTGATATATAGTTACATTATTAATAGTATTGTGATGAATATTATAACAAATACGTGGATTTTGATTGTTTAAAACCCAGATCTCAAACTGTTTGGTGGAAATGGAATATAAATAAAACAAATAAAACTTGGGGGAGGAAATGATGAAAGGAGCTGATCAGCAAATAACCTGAAATGGATTTTGCCTTCTTTCCCATCCCTGGGAGAGAATCCCCAACCTAATGCTTAACTTGAAATATATATTTTAATGCTTAAAAATGAAATCACCTGCATCAATAACAAGATTCTGTGGCTCCCTTTAGAAACTGTTTTTCTATTTGAAAAGGCTTCTTTTCTTTTCAGGTGCAACTTTTTATTTGGACTTTATAGCAGAGGACGTTCTCCATATTTGTCTGTTTTGCTTGGGGTAAGTTCACAATACGGATCCAACTCGTTGGCTTTGGGTACCCTGTGTCTCTCGTATTTCCTTTTTCTCTGCTTGGCAGGTTTGTTCTTTTTAATGTACAATGGCTATTTGAGCATCTTCTACTTCAGAAGAAACGGGAAAGTGCCAAAACGGGAGTGTGTGCATGCGCACAGGGGAGCAGCCAAAACTGGAAGAGCATGCGTGCTGGTCACCTGGTCTTTGGTTTCTGGTGCACATGCGCACGTGAAGACCAAGTGGTGTGCCGGAAAGCAGAAGCTCAGCTTCCCGGCGCACACATGTGCACCAGGGAGCTGCTCTTCCGGTTTCCAGCGCTTCCGCATGCACAAAGATCAGCTGGCTGGTGCACATGAATGCGCCAGAATCCAGAAGAGCGATGGGTGACAGCTGGCATGCCCAGAGAGATGGCTCTGCGTGCCACTTCTGACATGCATGCCATAGATGTAGACTGATGTCTCACTTTCTGTGAGGTCAAATGTGTAGCTAAGACTTCTAGCTGTCAGCCACGTTTTCTCTTGCATATGTTTCAAACTTCTTTTATCTTGTTCTTTTAAAATCTCTTTCAGATGCCTCATTGCCTTTTTAGGTGTCTTTTTGATCACTAGAAACAAGAGGAAGTGCGTCTTTTTTGAGCCTTACATTTCCATGGACGCCATGCCAGGTAATCTTAAAATCTAGTACCTTTTTGATAAGCTGGTAAAAACTCACAGGCTTTTGGAAAAATTAGTCTATCCCAACACTTCACCCCATTTTATTATTTGGTTGTACCACTTGCTGTAGGTTAGGCACAAAATCGGGGCATTTAAGCAACATGGAAGACCCCGTATCTTGATCATGGTTATATTGAACATGTAATGTCATGAATGTTCTTGGCTTCTGTTTATGTTATTTCTAATGTTGATCGCTTGCCTGGTTTATTCTGTTTTTCTCCTATTTAACAGCTGCCCAGAGTCTCATGTATTGAGATGGGCAGCGTAGAAATGAGTGTATTAAATAAGTAATTTTTCAGAGTCCACTTTCATCCATTTTAGATATAATTTTGGAGTACTGAGGGAGAAATTGAAGGGGCAGAAATTTCCTTTAGGTCTTGTAGAAGATTAAAACATTAAGTCACCCTTCAAGAACCTTGAAAAACCTCAAAGATTTAGACATGGTCCCCATTCAATGTGGAGATGATGATGATGATGATGATGATGATGATGATGATGATGATGATGATGATGATGATGATATAATGGTATTTATATCAATGGTATTTGTCACACATTTTTAAATGTTCAGTTGACTGAGTTTCATGTTTAATGAATAATAATATAATTTTATTGATTGATTTATTATATTTGTTAACCATCTCACACACTATATCATGTAAATACCAGTTCAGTCCTAGAATTGCACATGTGGCACTGAGGACCAAATGTAGAATTCCAACTTGAGAAAGGGGTCCATATCTTGGATATTTCAATAACAGTGTTCCTCGGTCACTTGAAGGCATGCAGACTTCAACTCGCAGAATTCTGTGTCTTCAAATGTCCAAGGCTGAGAAACACCGTCCTAAGTAATCCAATCTTACTGCCATCCAATTTGATGCAACTCGGGTTCCCAGACTAGCAAAATCTCAGAATGTAGGCTTTAGGATTAAAAATTTAGAACAGTGTTTCTCAATCTTGGTAGCTTTCAGATGGGTGGACTTCATCTCCCAGAATTCCCCAGTCAGCCCTCCTTTGAAGATGAAATTAAGAGTTTGGTTGGGTTAACAGAAGTGACAAGTTAAAAAGACAGTAATTGAATTTTTCTCTGTTTTCAAACCCCTACATTTCAAATCCCTCCACCTTTGTCCTCGACCTTCAGGCATGCAGAATCTGCACGACAACGGAACTGCAGTTCAACCTGAACTGAAGACTTCTTTTTCCTACGGTGCCCTGGAAAGCAATGATAGCATCTCCGAAATCTATACTCCTGCTACATTAACCATTGTCCAGGAAGAACATGCTTCTTGTCGGATCAAGTCACACAACAAAAGCGAGTGAATGCTCTTTGGAGAACTGCTGTAGGTGTGGTTATCTATTTATTACCCCTCCCTTTCTGTTATTTCACTCATTGAGCCCAGAAGACAGCTGAAGTAGGGATGAACTCACATAATAATTCTAAAAAACAAATACTGATTAAGGATCACGTACCTGCAGATACAAAAGTATTCCACCGTAAGCTGAATTGCATTGGAATCCGAACAGCTCCAACATTGAAAACACAGAAGGCATTTGAATAGCAAAAATGGACTGTACGTAAGTGACTACAGATGCTCTGTTATAACAGAAGCAGTGGTTTTCTTGGGATAACCAGGGATTGTGTGTCTTTTAAAAACTGGAAGAATAGCATTCTCCAACAGATATGTATTAGGGCAGTGTTGGCGAACCTTTTTGGCACCGAGTGCCGAAATGAGAGTGCACGCATGCATGTCCCAGAAACTGGAAGAGCAGCCACCCAGTGCACATGCCCGCGCTTGGAAGATGATCTTCCAATTTTTGGTGCATGTATGCCACCTGGTCTTCCAGTTTTTGATGTGCATGCACACACGAGCTCTTCATGCACGTGGGAGCACCAGAAACTGGAAGAGCAGCTATCCTGTGTACATGTGCACGCCAGAAACCAGAATATTATCTTCCCAGCATGCACATGCCCACCAGGCAGCTGCTCTTCCGGTTTACGATGCTCCCATGTGCATGAAGACCAGCTGGCCAGCATGCTGGAACCCAGAAGAGCAACCGGCGAGAGCTCACATTCCCGGAGAGATGGCTCTGCGTGCCACTTCCGGCACACATGCCATAGTTTCGCCATCACAGTATTAGGAATTCCCCATACTGAAAACTAATTATTTCCCCTTATTTTGTTGGCATGGCTAACCAGAGATGCATTGATACAGTTCACTAGTGTGTCCTCTGTTTTACTTAGTATATCTTGTTCTCCCAAACCTGGGAATTGGGAGGCAGGATACAGGATAGTATTTTGTTCCCCTGGTCAAAGTGTTTAGTCAACAGGTTGACGTTTTTCCCCATGAAGACTACGTCATTGAAGGCATCTCACCAGCGAGAACTTGTACCTTTCAGATCAACACACCATGATTTAGTTAAGAGTCCAACGTTGGTCTGCAATCCCAGGTGTTGAGAATGTGAGGACACGTGTTTTGCTACTAACCCAAAGACCGCCATCTTGAAATCATAACATTTGTGCTTTTTAATCATTGTCCCGGAAATGGAATTTTTGATTGTAATGTCCTTTGCGTTAGGCGGGGTCTTCCTATTTAGCGAGTTTGGGTAATACAGGATGAATTGCGTTCGTTTCATAGTAATGGTTGGAGACTGCAATTGAATGCTTTTTGTGTGGATTAAAAATATTTCCCTGCAAATAGAAAGAAAGACAGCTTCTGCAGATGTCATTGAGTTGTGACCAAAACCACCTTCCTTCTTTTCCTGTGTGTGATATTTATGTTTAAATGTGCAAGGATTATTTAAATGGAGGAGCACTTGAAAATATCCTGGTGCTTCAACTTTCAGTCTGCAATACTGCAACCTCTTTTTGCTATCTCTGGTGCCCGTAGGCATAGACATTGATTTCCTGCACATTTTTGTTTTTAATTTGTACTTTATCAGGGTTCTGTCTGCTCCCCAGCAGATGACAACACTTAGACAACCTTGGCTGATCTTAAAAAGCTAAGCTCTGTTAGATGTGGTTTGTATTGAGGATGGATGACCCAATGGATGGTTCATCCATTGACCATCCTCAATGGATGGACCACCTATCCATTGAGGATGGATGACCAACTGGAAAATCCCCAGTTGTAGGGTGTACTAGGAAATGTAAAAGCATCTCAGAAAATACCATCCCTACCCGTTTCAGAGCTCAGTGGCTAGGACGCTGAGCTTGTCGATCAGAAAGGTCGGCAGTTCAAATCCCTAGCACTGTGTAACGGGGTGAGCTCCCGTTATTTGTCCCAGCTTCTGCCAACCTAGCAGTTCGAAAGCATGTCAAAATGCAAGTAGAAAAATAGGGACCACCTTTGGTGGGAAGGTAACAGCGCTCCATACACCTTCGGCATTTAGCCATTCCACATGCCCACGGAGACATCTTTGGACAGTGCTGGCTCTTCGGCTTTGAAAAGGAGATGAGCACTGCCCCCTAGAGTCGGGAACGACTAACTCATACGTGCAAGGGGAACCTTTACCTTTACCATATCCTTTTCAGGTTTCTGGTGGTTGCCAGTAGAAATAAATAGATTTTAATCCTGGTTTTGTGGAAGAATTAACATGAATGTAAACCTTGCTGCAGTTTTCAATGGCCCTATGGAGTCTGAATGGAGGATACTCAGGTATTTTGGCCCACTTTCCCAGAGTGATTTGCACTTAAGATCCATGAAGATCCATGGACAATATGAAATAAAGCAGTGTTTCTCAACCTTGGCAGCTTGAAGATGTATGGCCTTCAACTCCCAGGATTCCCCAGCTGGTTAGAGAATTCTGGGAGTTGAAGGCCACACATCTTAAGGTTCCCAAGTTTGAAAAGCACCTCTCTTCAAAATATTCAGTTTTCTTTTTGATGACTGCTTTGATATCTTCTTGGAGGACCTGTAGGAAATCACATTTCTTCCCATGCCATTACATCTTCCCTAATATCCAACAAATATTTCATCATAATTGGAAGCGGGGGAAACTTCCTGGGTTATTGATCTGGGAATCATTTTTCAAGCATAGATTGTTTGGGAATTTCTCTTAAATTCTTCTTGTGGAGACAGTCAAGGTCCTTTTCAGAATGCTAACCAATGTTCTTGTCTCACTGATTTCTAGGATGTCAACCAAAGCTGTTGACTGAGTGTACTGTCTTCACCATGGTGTGTGTAAATAAACAAAGCTTTATAACACAAAGATGGAGAATGGCATCTTTTGTTCAAAGGAAGCCTTGCGTCCGGTAGATAGCAATAGCACTTAGACTTATATATCGATTCACAGTGTTTTTCAGCCTTTTCTAAGCGGTTTACAGAGTCGGCCTCTTGCCCCCAACAATTTGGGTCCTCATTTTACCCACCGCGGGAGGATGGAAGACTGAGTCAACCTTGATCCTGGTGGGATTTGAACTGCCAAATTGCAGTCAGCTGGCAGCCAGCAGAAGTAGCCTGCAGTACTGCACTCTAACCACTGTGCCACATTGAGGGAAATAAATTGAATAAGAAGCCACTTTGAAGACCGTATGGGTAGAAAGGCAGACTTACAGGTATTTAAGGAAATAACTAGGTCTCAACCTGAAACCACAACTGGATCCAGAATTTCCATCGCTGATCAAGGTGGCTCTTAAGGAAGTTGCACCAGATTTTAACAACTTTTTTGCCATTGCCGCTAAGTGAATCGTGCGGTCATTAAATGAATCTGGCTTTCCTCATTTGACAACTTGTCGGAAGCTGGGTGGGAAGGTGAGAAAGGGTGATCATAAGACCCTGAGACCCTGAAGCCATCATAAATGCATGCTGGGAGCCAAGCATCCAAATTTTGGTCATGTGAGCGAGGGGAGGGGATGCTGCACAGGATATAAATGTGAGGATTCATCATAAGTCGTTTTTTTAGTGCCGTTGTAACTTCGAACAGTCACTAAACAAAAAGTTGTAACTCAAGGACTACCTGTAATAAAAGCAAGCAAAGGGGGAGATTTTTGCTGAAGCTTAGTGATACCTTAGTGCACGTTGCCATCACGTGACGTATAGTGACATTTTTCCCCTTCGCAAAGCTGGGGTAGGTGTGGCCCAGGGATGGTAATCACTTACCTTCCCTACTGGTTCGCAAATGGGAGCACGCATGTGCCACATCCGCACATAGGCTCCACCTTCCACGCATGCGCTTTGCTTAAAAAAGGGCCTAAATGCCATGCTAAAGAGCTGGGGGGGGGGGACCCGCGATTTCCACTACCAGTTCAGGCGAACCAGTCCGAATCAGTATAATACCACCCCTAGTGTGACCTGTGCTTGACACATCTGGCCTGCAGCCCACCAGTTTGACAGCCCTGCTGCTTAGTGCAGTGTTTTTCAACCACTGTGCCGCGGCACACTAGTGTGCCGTGACATAGTGTAAGGTGTGCCGTGGGAAAAACACCC